CCCATTCCCCTAAACCCACCCTTCTTCCCCCTCCATTCCCCTAAAATCTTCCTTCTTTTTGCCTATGGGTGCTGAGGCTGAGCATCTTGGTGCTCACGCTGGGAGAGGCACCCGGCCCCGGCTGGTGGCTGATCTGTCCACCGAGACCTTGGTGAATTCTCACTAGGTGAACTTCAGGTGAGTAGCTTGGTTGCGTTTGCCCGTGGCTAGCTAAATGACTGCTATGGCCAGCTGGGAACATCCGCTATGGGTACATCTGGGCTACCCTGGAGCAGTTCACAGCTAGCGGCAAAGATAAGAGCAGGGAAATGGGAACAGAACACCGCTATCACCAGCCAAACTGGAAAGGTAAGGGGCACCCTGGATGAGCACCGTCAGCTACGTGCTGTCCGGGTGCTGCGGAGGGACATGAGGAACCTGTGCTTGTCAGTGGTTGCAAGAAACTCAATGTCAACTGTTAAATAAAAACTGATTCAAAAGTGCAGGTAACGCCACTGATACAGGTCAGCAGGTATAACACCAAGTCCAGGGACGACTAAGTGAGCACATCTTACGTTTGTAAGCACACACTAGTACCAAGAAATCTGCAATTTGAATATCCTTTTATTTACAAATTTTAACGTACATGTCAAAACACAGTATAGCCACAAAGCTCTAAATATGATGACGTTCATACTGTATTCTGCCATGATACATCGATAGGAAAGGCTGTATTTTGTGGAAAGACAAGTTCCAAAATTAACTACACTGTACAGGGCTGTGAGCTCTGACAGCGGCCTCGAGCCGCCGGAAAACATTTGTGAGCAACACAGGGACACCATAGAACTGACTACAGCCAACTTGAGGGCAGTTAAGCAAAAATGGTCTCATAACAGTCCCAAGAGGAAAGCGATGCCATCTTTCTCTCCCCCCAAGCCAGAGTTTTACACTTAAGATGTCCCATTCCCCCAAGGAACCTAAAGGACCGATGACTTAAGTGAGTTACTGAGCGCCCACAGAAGCCATTTCACGTGCCACCTGCACCACAGCTCAGTATTTTACACTGATACTCCTCCTTCACCATTAACAGCAGACAGACATTCACCCAGCACAGCCAGACAACAGGCCCAGTGAACACCTGAAAGACAAACTGCCCGAGGACTGGGAGACAAAAGCATGGAGGGAAGAACTAACACAAGGTCACACATGCTGCTGAGCATTAGCAAGGCTTTCAAAGGAACAGCTGGGAACATTCACACGTTTAAATGTTGTATTTCTTGCACAAACATTTTCTTCATTGGCATTTTTGTCAAGGCAAAGGTGCTTTCCAATATAGACCAGGTAGCCCACCGAGACAATTCAGCAATCTACTCCCTTCACTATTCATTTAAAAGAAAACCCTCCAGAGGGCAGCAGTTAGACAAAAGAAAGCCCAGCTTCCTTCAAAACCCTCCAAACCACCTTCTGTCCTTGTCACGCACCAACAACCACTATTTTTCTCTGAGCAGCCTCAGACAAGACCTGGCCCTAGGCCAGAAAGTCAACATTTCAGGAGCTGTTTTGCATGCAAGAAACCCAGCAGCAACGGCAGCGTGAGCTCTGTCCTCGGGCTGGACCTGAGCTGCTTCCCACGGCAGTCCGCTGCGCCTAACGAGAGAGTAAGGGATCCTCCTCTCCCCTGCGGAGACCTTGCAGCTTCAGCACCTGGAAACTCAGGTGGATTGTTCCCCGTTTCAGCCACCTGCATCAAGAGGAGAAAAAAGCAGAATGATGTTATGGACAGGCTAACAAAACCACAGAGGTACTCCCTGATGAGACACACTCCCTTTAGTTTGAGTTATTACACGTCCTTACCCTGCAAAAGCTGCGCACGTACACCTCTGCGCTTCAGAGATGAGACAACTTTAGTAAGACTTCTTTTTCCTCCACTCCTATCATCGGGATTGCTTCCCAGCCCAATGGTTTTTCTTCTTTATTCGTAGTAGCATTAAGCCATGACATCACGTGAATATAAGTGACAAACACACTCATATAGATTAAGAGCACGTGCAGCATCGGTGCAGAGATTTCAGAGTCAGCAGTTGCTCCTGCTCCTCAAAAAGGAAGCACCAGAGCCCAGAAGAAAAAACCGAAGATGCACAGTTTGCACCTGCATGTTAACAGTATCGCCACGACACACTCGTGGCTCTCTGTAACTAGCACCGAGTAAGAGAGGAGGGAGGCTGTGGTGCCTGGTGGTCCCTGCGGCCACAGGGAGACTCCCCGGGGGGGCAGGTATGTGATCAGGTCCAGGCTGGCAGCACCAGCGTACCCAGAGCTTCGAGTAAAGCCCACCTATGCAGGACACAAGGTTCCAATAGAGTCGGTGAGATTTTGGAGCACAGCCTCTGACAATCCTTCCAGAACACCTTGTCTCCTTCTCTCCTTATTCTCCCAACTTCTGCTCCCTCCCCAGTCCTTCTGCCCAGCCTCAGTGAGGAACGAGGGGTGATCATGAGAGTAAAAACCCTCAGCTAAGCACTGCAGTTCTCGCTTTCAAGAGGATGTGACTAACTCCAACGTACACAACAGACACCCTGGAAGACGCTGAGCAACAAGAGGTAACGATACCCCAATAGAAAAAAAAGCAAAACAACAAAACCACACCATTTTTTCTATAAGGTTTCTTTCAGACAAATTGACTTAGAGGACTGCACGTCTTTTGATGGGCAAGATGAGAAACTATTAAAACCACGTTTAAAAACCTCAGCTTAAAACTACCTGGAATGGTAGGATGCAACGGTAAGTGAAAGTCCACATAGAGTGGCAGAGTTCAAACTTGGTACTTCAATCTTGAAACTACAAGTCAATCACAGACCCAGGACTTTTCCTAAGCCTCCCTGTCTTGTAGCTAGATGTTCCTAACTGAGGATGTGAAGTGTAAAAAGATTGTACCATTGCACCTCCCAGCTAGGTAAGTGTTCAGGAAACTGTCCATTTGGAAGTTGTCAGAAGGCCACACAGCAGAAATTAAAGCCACCAGAAGGCTACACAGCAGAAATGAAAGCTTACCTTTTGCAGGCAGGTGTGATCTTCTCCAGAAGGCTAGTGCTCAACTCTGGGGAAGGTGGCCTCGGATGCATCAGGCATCAAGGTCCCCGATAGCTGTAAATTGGGGGAAAAAAAAAGAAAAAAAGAAAAAAAAAAAGAGAGAGGGTTAATTTCCAAGTGTAGTATAAACAGACAGAACAACCAGAACCCACCTTCTAGGACATATGCAATGCCAACATGTAACTTACAACAAACCTGTTCTTTGCTCAAACCAGACTTCAAAAATGTTTCACCTGCCCCAATACGGTTTGCCAAATCTCAGCTGGAAGCAAGACAGCCAGAGTGACGGCCCGTGAAATTACTTACCTCGCAACAAACATCTCAATGTTACCGAGGAACTAATCTTTAGGAGAGCTCCAAGTTTTTCCCCTCTCTCTCGCTACGCCTGGCTCCTGTGCTTTCATCCTCCCTACTGGACTAAGCCCCTCAATACCTAACACTTTTACTTCAAAGAGTTAAGAAACCAAGGCAAGTTCTGCATCTGTTAAGAGTCGCACTGGAAATGTGTGTGTCACGCTGTTCAGGAAGTCCTGAACCAAACAAATACAGAGGAGCACAAATTATTTTATCGATTTATATCGATTTATTACCTGCTGTGAAGCCAGACTTGGGTTATGGAGGTCAATAGCAGCAAGGGAGGGGACACGGGACTCTGAAACTGTTTTATTTTCCTTTTTCAGGAATCTGGGATGCCACGCTGCAAGACACAACCAACGCATACAAGAGCTGACTGTTGTAACACACGCTGTTTCCTGCCACTTACTTCATATTCAGGTTTTATTTAGAGGACATCAAAGCTCATACCTTCCACCCCTCTCAGTTCAGGGAGATGATTTAGTTCTGGCAAACGCACATCTGTCTTGGAGAACTCCCATTTTTTCCTATTTGCTTGAAGGATGTTTTTTTCATTAGTGACCTGTAATCAAGGGCGTAAGTACCAGCTCATCAAAATATAGAAAAAAAACAAAGCTATTTTCAAGCTTAAAAACGCATCAACACAAAAGTGTTCTGCTGTAGCTGGAACTCGCGCAAAAGACTCTAATGTGCGTGAAACACGTGACACTTAAGCAGAAAGGATTCTGTGATAAACAACGGAACAGCCAGAGCAAAAACCACCCCAATCTTCTAAGCCAGACTGCATTCAGAGACACAAAATACAACACTTGGAAAACGGCTCGGATTAGTTATCTGTAAAAAGGAACTGTTCCTGCTGGCGTGGAAAGGCTATTGCCTAGGTTGAGTGCAGTGGAAAGGTTTCCTTTCCACTTGTTTTCATTATCAATTTTTAATGCATTTACAACACGACTAAATAAGGCCCTGACCATGTTAAATCCAAATCCTCAATTCTGCTTCAGTAGCACAGCACACGTGGTCTACTCTTCCTGTCCAGGCAGGAGGCTACAGATAGATTCCAAGTCTCACAGGTATCCTGTGTGGGACTGCTCCTCTCATTTAAAATTGTCCTCTGACACAAAATACGTTTCAGAGAAGATAACTATTAGCAAAGGATAACAGATGACACACCTGTAGAAAAAAGGGGTAAAGAAAATAATATTTCTAGTTGGGACTTATGGTGAAGGCTGCAACAGATGGCATTTTTGACAACAAAACACATACCTGAGTTCAGAGTTTATTTTTGCTTTGCCAAGGGGGAAGGACAGACAACTTACCGATGTCAAGCTTACACTGTAATGGCCCGCTGGAGAATGCTTCCGTTGCTTTAGAAATGGGTTCAAGTATTTTTTACTCTTTTCATCAACTCTGTAATCAAAAATGCCCCAAACTTTGTATTAGCCGGGGTAACGTGGTGAATATAAAACCAAATATGCAAGACATCTAGAAACACTATTATTAAATGCTTTGAAAGAAGGCTCACAGGGAGAATATCCTTCGTGAGCTCAGGTAACATAGAAGTTTGGTCCAAAGGACGAGCTACGAGTCAAAGAAAGGCCAGTGTCACGGCAGCTGGCAAACTGCTGCTGTTCGGCAGAGCTTTGCCAAACGCAGAAACACAGGGGCCCTGTGCGGACACGCACAGCTGCTCGAGGTGACGCCAGGCTTTCTGACCCACGCACAAACCTCCACCCAAGAACTGTTCCTACCCATGTCCTGCCCCAAACCCACATCTCGCGTTCCCACATCATCACCCTGCACCTCTCTTGGGACACCGCAGTTCATCGGCAACAGGGACGATGGGTACAAGCTATTCTAGCGCTGCTCCCATACCTGTAATTAAGGTTCCCAGGCACAGGACCCATCCCAACTGCAGTGGGAGAAAAGTTCTGGTTGATGGGAGGGATAACTACGCCTGCATTCTTGGCATAGTCCAAGCTGCTGCTGGAATCTTTTAGGCTGGTTTGAGGGCTTATTTTAAATGGGTGGATCGAACTGTCGTAGAGGGAGCTCAGGTTGGAGCATCGGCCTGCTTTCTCTGCATCACCTTTAGAGCGCTTCGCCTTTAATAGCTTTGCATCTCTGCTCTTTGGGTCAATGCTGAAATCCTGTTTGGAAAGACAGGCATCATCTTTCTCTTACAGTCATGTTGAAGAAGTAGCTTAGAGCAGCACATGCGGGGAAAAAAGTCAAAAGCCTAAACCGGTGTGATTCTGCAAGGATCTGATGGAGATGGAATTGTTTTTAGTAGAAAACTTCTGTTTTCTATCAAATGGAAGGAGACTTGTGAGGGTTCCAGCACCCTCTGCAAATAAGTCACCTTAGAATGGGATCGGAAATGATGGAGGAAGAGCAGCCGTATCCTGTGTCACTTCCAAAGAAATGAAGTAAGAACTGAGCCAAACATCACCTCAAAGTCACTCTGAAGCCTCTACTCCTCAGTATCTGATTGAAAGCAAAATAGGTAATTTTGGAGACAGGGCTTTAACAGAGGTAAACAGCAGCACACAAGCATGTTTTCACGATTCAACATGACTTATGCTTCCCAACAGACTCTCCCTTCAGCTCTCTATTGGCCAGTAACTGCATCACGATGTAGTATTACTTGCAAGGGACTGGCCAAACAGCCACTTGCAGACTGCGGAGCCAAGCGCTAGAGCAGACCTTGCAGCAGCCAAACAGCTAGGATCAAAGGCACAGAACTTGTACACAACAGCCTGCAGGCTGTATGGCACTGAGTGTCAGAGCTGGGGGGGGCAACAGGCCTAACACGCTGCCTTGAATCGGGCGACAAGGTCTCCAGTGCTGTTTAGATTCACCGTGGCCTCCAAAGGTGAGGCGGTGCTCTGGCACATCACACTTACCTAGTCTTTTTTAAAAAATGAAATGGACGGTTATGCTGATATTTTCGCTATGACCTTAAACTGCTGCACACATTTATACAGTGATTTTAAAACACAGGGAAAAAAATACAGGTTTGAAAAACAAAGATGGACCAACCTGGACACCAAGCATTTTTCTTTCTTCTAAAACATCATCTTTGTCCCTTTTGCCGATTTTTGATTTTTTTTGTAATTGATGGTCTCTGGCATCTTTCTGAATCTTTAATTTAAGCTCCTGAGCAAATCTACATTCCATAGAAGGGGGAAAAAAAAAAAAGGGAGGCTTCTGTTAATCGTCATCAGCTGGTATTCAGCCCAGGCTCCTATAGTCTTTTAAGTAATCAAACAAACCATGCCTTTTTAACTAATGAGAAGCCAGCCAAATATGATGTATCCATTAAAATAAATAAAAGGCAATAAAGGTGCTTGTATCCCAGTCTGGTGTAGATGCAGACAGTGGATACAGCGTGAGACTATACTACCCAATACGGTGTGACACTGCGTGCGCACCCTGATGAATTAATGTCATGACAAGGTAATGAGGCAAACAGGCCACTGCAATGCATTCCCTTTCAACCGTCCTCCTATTTCCAGGAAGGCTAAACCCAAACAAAACCAAGACGCTCAGCAGCTGTAAGCTCTGCAAACCCAGCATGCAATCTTCAAGTGCAACTGCTTAACTTCCCTTTAATACTAACCTGCTTTGAGCAAGAAACTAACTCTTTACCTTTCAGCAAATCCATCCTTGTTAAAGAAATCGCACTGCAAGAGTTCAGCACAGGATGGTCTTTTGTCTGGATCAATCTGCAAACACTTCTGTCAAATCAACGCAAACATTAGAAGGCAAATACGTTAGAAATGAAAGAAAGGCTTTAGCATTTCCAAGTGAAGTCAAGAAAAAAAGCTGCAAACCTCCCCCTTCTAGGGTGTGTTATATTGAGATGAGCCCAAGAGACACCACTACCAAAAAAGTTTAACGTTTGCTGGCTGCTTCCATTCCAATCGCTAACGCTCACAAAGACTCACTGCACAGGGAATACCTCTCATACCAACAGATCACTCTCAGTAAACCTCCCTTGTTTTTAGTTACGTTTGTTTAGCTAAGGCTTTAGAATCTGTTTTGATCACTAGGCATTTCAAACAGAACCATGTGGTTTTTAGGTTGGTTTAGTTACCCAACATATCGGTGCTCCACTACTGTGTGAGAACACAAAAACACTCCCTGGAAGGATTCTTCAGAATCTATTGCAAAATTGTAGGCTCCCTAACTCCCACACAGCTCCGAGAGCAAGGGACACGTTTCGATGCCATCCCATTCAAACCTACTTGCTCGCAGTCTCCACCAGCAGGTAGAGGGAGGGTTGGCTGAAAACACTATATCCACACAGCTCTGCTAGCAAGTAAGAAGTAAAGGGCTGTGTATTATCTACAAAGCATGTGCTTAGGTAGCGGATGAGGCGCAAAGATTGGGAGAAAAGATCAACTGACGCAGTGAGGTGTATGGGGGATGTTTTCCACACACAAGCCCTTCTTCACCTTTCAAATCTCCTTGGGAAACTTAATCAGTGGGGTACTATATGCTACAAATCCTCCCTGGAGGATATGCAGTGATCATTTTGGCTCTGGAGATGACTGGCTTAGCCTCCCCTGTCACCCAGGACGGTAGCTGTCATATCCTTACAGTCCTCACTAAGCTACCAACCCCAGCAGTTGCTCATTGCATGGGTAATTGAGAGAAAGCCAGTTTAACAGCCCCAGCCCTTTCTGTAGGCTGCATTCAGCTCCCCATAGCGAAGGACAAGTAAACACAGGAACGTTCATAGAAAACAATCAGTTAATTACCTTGGCTAAATCTAGCACTGCAGCAGGAAGCTTGGGATATCGTTTGTCCAGAGTTTCGGCCTCCTTCACTTCAGGCAACCTCATGCCAGCAAAGAGGGGATTTTTATAAAATAACTCTTGGTGTCTTGGAATTAAGTTACCTGGAATCATGCAAACAAAGCAACCACTTGGAAGAAATACAGAACAATCCTGTGAAACATTAGGGAGGCTGAAATACAGGGTCAGCACTACTATATGGGCTACACTCTGGGTTGTTCTCTTTCCACCTGTGCACCACGAATTGATGCTGCACTCGCAAGCTCCTAGCTGCCCCTTTGTAAAAGGCACTAAGAGTACAAGCTCTCAGAAACACTTCAGTACACTCCACAGCCTTTCTCCCAGCACCCTCCTCCCCCCTGTCAAAATACATCTGACCCCTTCATTACTAAGCAGGCACTAGAAGCCTGACAGGCTGTCTTACCCAGGCACTTGGTGATATGGTAGAGCTGGTCAATGTCTGAATCTCCAGGGAAGAGGGGCTCTCCTGTAAGCATTTCTGTTATCAGAGAGCCAATAGCCCACACGTCCACAGCCCTGGGAAAAAACAAAAAACCAACACCCCAGCTCAGCACAGCTTCATTTGTCCCTCTGATGTAAAGGCTGAGCTAGGCCAGCACACAGCACGTCTTGGACACAAGCCCCAAGTGCAGCTCTGCCCCCCTAAACAGCCAGACAGCTGTTTCCCAAGCTTACAAGTGCTCTGACGAATGGCAAGGATTCAGCTCTTCATGCAGGCAAACGCTAGCAGAAGCCTGACAGACGCAACATCAAGTTCCAAACCCCAATGCTTTAAAAATACTAATACAACATCACACATTAGTAGAATCTTGCACTTTGGAGAGCACAAAAGTAAGCAGCTCCTCTTTCCGCAGGCATCCGCTCTTCAGGCACATTTACTGAAAACTAAGTTTAAGTAATACAGGGACACACAGAAACCTGCACAACTGTACTAACAGACCTGCGAACAGTTTAAGTTCTGACCTGGTTTTGTGGTACTGGAGATCCCAGTAAGAACAATCTCATTCATCCTACCTCCTCCCTCCTGAAATGTCCGCCTAGAATTGTTTGGAGGGACTTTTCTGCCTTCCCTCCAGGACTCCAGCTGCACAGGGGGGAGGTCTATCATAGCCACCCCCAGTACTAGAGTCGACAACTGAAAAGCTCCTATAGACAACAGACCAGGAATGCTGAGGGCTCTCCTCGCCTCTTGAGCCAGGAAAGCCTAGCACTGGCAGTCGTTAAGTGCAGAGCGGGAGAGAGAAGAGGAAGGCCGACACCTTTACAAGTGAATAACCAGGGAATGCTGAACAGCATCCCCTTCACCTGTTTGCCAAGCAACAGTCCCCTGCCTCCCAAAAAAAACAGAGCATCCCCCCACCCTCCCCCATACTCCCCACAAGCCTTCTGCAGCCTTGCCTGCCAGTCTCTTACTTGCCATACTTGATATCTCCCACCAGCAGCTCTGGAGCTCTGTACCATCGGGTTGCCACGTAGTCTGTGTAAGCTTCCCCAGAAGCTGCTAAGGTACGGGCAAATCCAAAGTCACATAGTTTTACAACTCCCGACTGGGAAACTAGTATGTTCTCTGGCTTAATATCCCGATGTATTATCTGCACAGAGAAAAGCAGGCCAAGACAAATAAAATCCCCATTTCTACATAGCACATTGACTAGCTCACCAAAAACAGTAGCTTTCTCATATCCAGGTAGAAAATGACATTTTTGCAGCGATGGGAAGACATATAGAGACTGTAAAAGACAGCTATGGGCACACGGTCAACAAACAAGTGCCAACTCAATTGCACAGGAAAAAGCAGAACCTCTAATTTTCGCACACAGAAGCGTTTACTTTACGTACCTCTCTGCATATGTTCTGCAGGTCTATTTACTACAGGTACTTTAAAAGGCAAAATTTATTATGCTTGAAAACCTGGCCTTGACCACAAGTTTAAAAGCTCTAAGTATTGCAAGGGCCATGGGCATGTCCTGCATGTGAAGAGTGTTTTGGGAATTCATAAGAGAGCCAGCTTCCCAAACATAAAAATAAATTTAAGAATGTGCATGTGTTTATATAATAGTTACACAACTAGGATTAAATCGGCAAACCTGTTAGAAACCAGTTAGAACAAAACCCCAAAAATACTGAAGAGAAAAAGCAAGCCTATGTGTTTACATAGACACCATCTGAATCAAGCTTTTGCAAGACAGACTACCTCCCTCTGCAAGATAAGCCAACTAACAGTAGAGTACCACCACACATTGGATCCCCACAGACACTCGAACCTTTCCTTTGAAACACTGTCACAAATCCATCAGAGACAGACTACTGGATTAGCTGACATCAAGCTCTGACATTTTATATGAAATTCAGTCCGGCCCTTCTACCCTGCCTCTTTCTTTTCAGGCAAAGCTTTATCTCTCTCAGTTTTAATATATACCAAAAATACACGCTTCTGTACCCAGTCATTCAAGGTTAACAACAAAGCTGACTTCTTGTGCATACTTACATTATGACTGTGACAAAAGGCTATTCCTCTCATAATCTGAAATAAGTATTTCCGAACCCTGCTGTAGTCTAGTCCGTTCGGAAACGCCTCAAGGTCATCAAGCACCGTGTGATCCACAAATTCAAACACCAGATACCACCGTTTCTTCTTTTTACACACTTCCAGCAGGTTCACAAGATTCTCATGCCTGAGTTGCTGTTATAAAACAGGAAATATTTTATGAGAGCTTGACAGTATACAATGGGTAAAGTACAGCCAGATACTTTTAACTGCAACCCAGCCAGTGCACTGCCCTGGAATGCTCTTCTTGCCACGGCATTCCCATTCATTTATTCTTAAAATCAGCTCACTGATATTTTAGAACAGATTTAATTTTGCCAATTTGATTTCATTTTTTTAACACTATCTGGAGGATTTCCACCACCTCATACATGCAGACGCCTGCTTTTCTAACCTAAAAATAAATAAAACCCTGACTAAGGGCATCTCTTCTTAATGGGGATGCTCAAAATACACTGTTCTGTTGTTGGAAAAACCCCATGTGTTCTGCCTCTCACAATACTCTCCTCATGTAAGAAGTGACCCTAACTCGTGCCCTGATCTTGACAAGCTTTAGAGCAAGCTTATCTTCCACATGAGAGAAACCTTGAGGAAGACACAAAGAATTCCAGAGGAGCGTGTGGTTAATGCTGAGAGACAGCAGGCACCTAGCAGCATCTCCCCCAAAGACTTGCTACGGCAAAGGAAAATCCAGAGGTCCCTGAGCTGGCAGGAAAGACAAAGCAGGATGGTTTGTACTGGGAATTTCAGCATGCTGCCAAGTCTGTCTTCGACCAGTGCGAGAAGAACAGGGCATTTAGCCACGACTGGTGAGCTGCAGAGACTCCTTGCTAGTTCCCTGGGTTTGCTTACAAACAGCTCAAGCAGCAATAAACACAGCTTGTTCCCATAATTGGGCTGTATCTGTGACTCAAACTCCTTTCGGAGATATTTTCATCGAGGTGACCAAGTAACACTGTGCTACCCTGCCTGCTCCCTCAGGGCAGGGCACACAGAGCAACGCTAGCTAGCTATCCCTTCCCGACAGGATTCAAAGGATTTCTGCAGACAGCTCTCAATGTTTCATTTAAAAAAAAACTTTCTGCCTCTCTCAACAATGCAAAGCTGATTACTCTCTTTTCTCCCACATTTCCAGGAAGTTTTACTATTCTTCTCTGTTATTCCTTTCTCTAGGTCCTCTTCTTAAAAATCTCTTACATCTCTATTTAAAAGAAAACCAAAAGCAGCTGCAATACCTCTCTGTTCTACCTAGCTGCCAGTTCATCACCAACTACTCAGTGTCTGTATCTTAATTTTTTCTAACAAGGCTGATAGAACACTTTTATTTCAAGCTCCTACTATACTCAAAGCACTTTTGTTGGCACCAACAGCTTATACACATTTACAGTAACATGTGCCAGAATGTGAGCACATTGAATGGATAAAAGGAAAGTTCAGCATTCTTATCTATAACAGTGTTAACAATTAAACAGCTTCTATTAAACTGCATCTAGTGGATTCACAGTGAAAACTGAGTAGCCAAGGATTTGAAGAGATTTTTTTCCCCCAATATTATGCAGAGTAAAAAGCTGAAGATAATTTAGAGAAAAAAACCTGCAACATAAAGGAAAAAAAAAAAAAAAGCAGCTATATTTTCTAGTTATTTTGTCATGACATTCTAACCAGACAAGGATCCACCTCCAGTTTGTTACACGTTTGTAACCCTGATTCATCACGCACTGCTTTAACAGACCGGACCACGCTACAACGAGCAGTTATTTATTAGCTTGGAACCTAGCAGGGAAATACCTTCGGAGGCTGCCTGAAGGCAGCACCATAGCCTGGGGATCATGACCAAGGAAAATGCAAAAGGACTGCAGAGCACGGGGACTTGGAGGGAAAACGCTCTGCCAGTCAAGAGGGAGTGCCAGCCAACCTGCACCCGGGTCTGTCAAAGACCCAGATTTCTTAGAAAGTCTGAAAAGGAAAGATTACAAAACAATCAGAAAAAAAGCTCTTTTCTCAAGAATGATTTCTTCCCAGCACAGGAGACTTGAAGAGGCTTTGCTGTTTTCAGCCACGATTACACTTCTGCCCAAACTCCAGAACAGTGGAGAAAAAAAATAAACTAGGTTCACAGGGAGCAAGTGAAGAAACTACAAAAACATTAAATCTCTAGGTATTTATTTTCCCTCTGAGAGGCCACACTTCCTGAGCTATATATGGAAATGTTCCCCTTGCTAAGTTCCCACTTATGCAGGAAAATAAGTTAATTCCCAACACACCTGGGAGGTGGTACGTGCTTTGACTCAGTAACGAAGCGAGCCTGGCCAACAGATGAGGTGCGACCCAGACTCACACAGATCTGCTTTAGAAGAGTTCGAGGGGACAACGCTTGGAACTGCTGGCTGTGTCTCAAGTTCCAGCACGTACATTTCTATTAATTCTAAGGGTCTGTAGCTCTTGCAGTGATGGCAGAGATCCCTTTCTTTTTTTATGCTTCACAGCCCAGGGACTATATAGTCTGGCAGACTTGCGAAGAGACACTTGTGGCAGCTGAGAGGAGACATGTGTTCCCATCTCCAGAACACCCCACATCAGAGGAAAAACCTGGATGCACCCTAACTGTAATAACTTTCATTTCTTCACCAGACACCTCACCCCTGTCCCACCACTTAAAACTACCACGTGTGCCCACACACAGGGACAAGCACTCTTCTGTGCACACCATCCATGGAAAATGCTGCTAGAGGTTACGGTGGCAAACATAGGGGTTGAGGGCGGTCAAAAGAGCAAGCAGAACAATGGACACATGCCCTGGCACAGAACGCCACCCTGCATCCTTGGCATCCTATTCATGAAGGAATGCAGCAGGAAAAAATGGCAGTGAAACAGTTTAGGAACTTGCAAAAGCTTCTGTAGGAAGAACAAAGCCAAGAGAGGAAGCAGGACTACATAACTAAACACTGAAGAGCACACATGCACAAACCCCTGCTTATCTAAAGCTCCTGGGTATTTTCCCAGAGCCTCTACAGCCCACGAAGAGAAGTACCTTTAACAGACCAAGCAACACAATGAGGCTGCACCACATAACACTGCTGATAAGAAGCCAACAGGCTGAAATATGACTGGCTATTTAGGTAAGTATAAAGCATCCACAACCGATACCAGGCAAATCACTCGTCCGACAGCAGAGGACCTTATGCCAGCTGCCTTCAGCCTAGGGGCTAGCCACTAATTGATAAGGTTCAGGGAACTTGATACCTGTCCTCCTCCAGCATCTCCTGCCAGGAAAGTGCCATTAATAAAATAAAATAAAACTTTCCTAGAAGCATTTTTCCATATCGGGTAACAGCAGTACCCCATCTGGTTAGGCACTCTTATCACACGTTCAGGTCACCACTGACCTGCAGGTTTTAAAAGTTCAGCTTTTCTTTTGTTTTCAGCAAATTCACAGCAGCAAGGTACTTGATTTTGGTATGCAACACAGGGGGACACAATTAGCACCAGGAGGGAATAGAGACCTTGTGACTCCTTTCCTTGTACCTTTCCTTGCTGAATACAGGGCATATAAACAGATTAGATTCTGATCAAGTCAGGTTTAGCCAGGCAAATCCAGCACAGCACCCAGCCAAGGGGAAATGCAGCTCTGCAAAGCTACAACTCAAAGGCAAAATTAATTTACCATGGCTTGGCTGCTTGTGGAAATGCAAGCAGGGCCCAATCAAGTCTCTTTTGGTTTGGACTTTGTTAGTTATACTCTGTAAATCGTGGTCAGAAGCAACCATGTTTCCCTTTTGAAACTGACTCAATAGCTTAAATTTACACCCATCCTATAACTTCACTAGATAAACGCCACTCCGTAAAGGGCTATTAAGGAGTCTCAAGAGGCAGTTTCCTCCCAAGAACCCAACTCCCTACAGGTAGATCTCACCCACACCCATCGTCGTCCTACACAACTGGCACCTTTACTGCAAGAAAAACTCAGACCATAGACACAAGGGTTACTATTCTGCTTGAAGGAGACGTTTGCCTTCACCAAGGTATTTAAACACCTGACGAGGATTCAAAATACGCTATGAAGAGGCACCTGGAGCACGGCAGAGGCCGGACCTGCACACCGCTACTCTCTCCATCGCTGCCCTTGCCTGCGGCGGGGCAGGTTGCTGGAGCAATAACCACAGCAGCTTCAAAATAAAAAGGTCACGCTCTGCGTTCACCACCTCGGTGCAGCGGCTCGTGGCAGACGTCGTACTGCGACATAAACACCTCCCAGCTGAACGAGGAGCTGTGAATTTAAACACCGAGCCACCAAAAAGCCATCGGTTTGGGCACACTTTGCTGGAAAACGCAGGCCCGCTCCCCTCAGCTGCCCTCACAGGCCCCACCCGCGGCCCCCTGCTCACCTTCAGCAGCTTGATTTCCCTCACGGCGATCTTCTTCACCACCGCGTCGTCTTCGCTTTCCAGAAACTTCTTGACAGCGACAATCTGCCCGGTCTCCTTGTTTCTGCACTTGGTCACCACCCCGTAGCTGCCTTCCCCTACGAGGCCCAGCACCTGGTACTTCTCCATGGCCGCGGCTTTCCCCCTGCGGGAGGCCGGGGAAGCTCCGTTAGGCCGCGGCAGGTTGAAGGAACCGAGGCCTCCCGCACCGTCACCCAGGCGACGGCCCGCCGTAAGGCGCAGCCGCCGCCTGTCGGCACCGCCGCGC